CTCATTCTGTCCCGTAAAATAATTCGGTCCGTAAAACGTATCAGATCCTCAAAGGCACAAATTCTGCAGTAATGCCTTCCCAGCTTGAGATCAGCTCCGGCTGTTTCATTCATTTCTTCTGGCAAAATCAGGCTGAATCTATTTCAGATCGCGCTGAAAGCGCTACAGTCAGCTAGACGGACGTCTCAGCTTTTGATTGACACCTAGTTTGGCCAATAGGAGAGCTTTGGTGGGTGACTCACAGCCTGAAGGGCCAATAGAGTGTCTCAGACAGTCAACCCGGTCCGCACAAGTCCCACCCTTGTAGATTCGACCAGTCGGGTTGCAGACACTCTCTGAAGCTGTAAACTTGTAGCCAATGAGCAGACGAACACGTGGATGTGTCGGAAGGCAGGATTGTGTGTGTGTGTGTGTGGCGGTATCGGATCGGCCAGTTACCACTGTGAAGCAAATCATCCGATACCGTAATTTCGTCCAGTATCGGCCCGATACCGATACCCAGTATCGGATCGGCGCATCTCTAATTCAGACACATCATCTGCATCATCATGAAGCCGGCAGGAGCTGATGCGTCCTTCATAAACAAAGAAACTCCCTGAACAGAGTCAGCGCATAAATCCCACTGAGAGTGTTTCTGAGTTGCTTTGCATCTCATTTCTGTCACCTGCAGCTCAGACTCTGAGGATTTCCAGGCAGTTGTAGCAGATAGTGATCCAGTCGGGCTGGGTGGAAGCCCACTGGACGTTATTGATCTTTCCCTCGGCTGTGTAGACCAGTATGGGGTCCTCAATGGCCCGCGGCATCTGCTGGATGTCCCAGATTAGAGCCTGGTGGTCGTCCGCTAGACAGAGAGGAGGGGAGGGGGATTGATTTGAATCGATTTATCTTGTTTAGACAGGAAGAATATAGTTTTGCTAAACACGACGCTTTACTGTTCTGATTCTGGTAAATAACTCGGTTTTCCTGTTCAGCAGGACAAACTAACATCATGATACAATCAGGGGACACAAGTAAGCCACAAAAGACTCACAAAAGATCTGCAACACATCAGCGCACTGTGTTACCGGATCAATGCATTGTGTGAACTGTTTACTGAGTTGTGTGATTTTACACCAGATTACACATGTGACAAAATGGCTGAAGCGTTCCAGCCAAGATGATCACATCTGTTTCACACAACACAACCTCTAAAACTCTGCTCTGTTGTTTCTCTGCATTGCATGTTCTGCTGTGACTGATTACCTCGGTGCTAACATCTGACCTTATTTTGTTATTTACTTTACTGATTAGAGGCCACATTCCATATGGGAAGCACACAAACACACAATAATGCTTTTCTTCCACCTGCCGACAAACCTAAAACAACATTTGTTTGTCCAATATCACACAAACATTTGTTAAAAAGTTTCCACAGTGCACTGTTTGCCAATTTACATCACTTATAAATGAATTCTTTTTCAGTATTGACTCAGTTCAGTGTTTGTGACAGATCTGAGATCAACCTACAGTTTTTATTTTGCCTCTCTGGTGACACCTGTGATGGAATACGGTGTCATTATCTTTTCAGTCATGCAACCGGATGGATTGCAGTGACGTTGGTGCAGATATTCGTAGTCCCCAGAGAATAAATCCCTCTAACCTTGGTGGTGATCCACTGACATTGACTCTAGGGCCATCCGCAGGTTCATATTTTCACATTTCATGTCCTAAAAACTACTGGATGGATTGACAAGAAATGTGGCACAGATCGGCCAAATTTGACAATCAGATAATCGTGGTCCCCTCAGAATGAACTGCGTTTTCATCCGATCAACATTGTCCATTACTTGTAAGGCGGTCGACTGTATTTTGTAACATATTAACTAAGAGCTCATTTTTTTGTCATGAGTGGAATAAGGATCGAACAGATGGAGAGTAGACAAACAACCAAAGACATTTAATGTTTGGCTTCAGTCCACACAACATGTGAACTTCAGTAGTTACATTATTCTAAAGCTGATTTCTCCATGCTGTAGTGACTCCACTGACCAGAAGTGGAAACAGTGAGAAGACACTGATTTGACTAATGATCTCGTCTCTTTCTGGTGTTCCTAGTGGGTTTGCTCTTTTCCATAAAGAATAGGATTTGCAAAACTTCCACTGACAGCAAAGTGGTGAATATGATGGACGGTTCAACACCAATACATGCAGCAGCTCCTGCAGATGTTTGACACTTTTGTCGAGGCAGCACCACAGGGCAGGACCTCTGCACAAACACCTTCACAAATCCTCCTAAAAAGGTATACACTTGTATTTTCTATTTACCAATGTATGAACCAGCATGCAATTAATAAACTGAGCAACGGCACATTTTGCTTCATGCTCTAAACCTGTACTTTTGTCTCGCAGGTCTTTTATCTGCTACTCCGCTCTGTCATGATGCTTGAGATGCATTTTCATTTCAAGAGTCTGTCCAACAACTCTTACGAATCTGGGAACCGAGCTTATAAATGTGAAGGCATTGAATGGGGCGTTTATATTTGGGTTGTTTCAGCAACTCTGTGCTTTGCTGTTGGTTTTCCTGCATGTGCTGCCATCCTCTGGGACATGTTTCAAACACACAGGAGAGGAACTCCCTTCACACCGTATGAATTTTTAATGCTGAACCTCTCCATCATGGATACTGTCTTCTTGGCTTTCATCCCGCTTGGACTTTACAATTTTTTCATTTGGCAAATGCAGATAATTGAATTAATGTGGAACGGCATTTACGCCTTAAGCATAGTTGGACGACCCGCTATGATGGCTTGTATCTGTGTCGACTGCTACCTGGCCGTGGTTCATCCAATCGCTTACCATAAGAGGAAAGGTCTGACTCCCAGAGTGGTGGCAGTGGGGATAGTTTGGGCTGTGACAGTTGTATTTGGGATTTTATATGCTTTTTTGCCATATTTAACCTTCGGCGTCCTTACTATTGTGATATTTATGATTGCTCTTGTAATAACTGTAATCGCTGACTTTTTTATTGTACATACCTTAAGAAAGTCTGACAAAAAAACCATTCACCCCCAGAAGAAAAGAGCCCTTCAGACTCTCAGCTACAGCCTGGTCGCTGAGATCATCTCTTACGTCCCTCCGATAATTCTTCTGACAGTTGGGAAGGCTGTGATCAGCGATGCTCACATCTTGTTGTGCGCCCTCATTATCCCAACAACCATTACTTCCACTTGGGGATCTGCCGTCATGCCTTTAGGGTACCTACATAATATTGGGAAATTGGGTTGTTTCAGGCTGAGATGCTGCAAACCGACACCACCGACTCCTGCTTCTGCCTCTGGCTAAAACTGATACGTCAGAAAGTTGTCAGATCAGCTGAGTCCTGCTGTTAACATGTATATTTAGATAATGGAAGAACAACAGAGGATGTGTCAGTGGGGTTCTTGAATTGATTTCATGTGTATTGTTAAGTTGTTCCTGTCTTACATGTAATAGTTGTATTCTATGTGTGATACACTGTGGAGTTTTAAAAAAGGAAAGTTATAATGAAAGAGCCCAGAAAACTGTAGTTCTCTTATATGTTAGGATATGTTTTCTGTTTATACTTTCTTATTTGTGTTTGAGGCTTCATGTACTGCTTGCAATTTCGTTGTGTGTATAGAACCGTATGCGTAACAACAATAAAAGGATTCGGATGTTTATGTATGCTTTGGGAACTGTGTGTTTATTGGATGTTAGTTATTGAACCTAACAATAAATCTGTTGAGCTCAGTTGTTTTATTCCTGATGACTGATACCAAAATGCTGTTTCTCATGATCACTTGAAGGGTAACTGCAAGAAAGTACTGTTGAGAAAACCCATCTGGGCCGCTTTGTATCACTCTGACACCTCAGGATCGATGGCAAGAAATGTAAAACTTTGTAACTGTGTTTAATTGAGCCATAAATGACATCAACAAATTTAGATTTTTGAAACATTCTCCTTCACAGTAGTCTTTGGTGCTGCTAACATTTTATTGACTAATAACCCGTCACAGCCAAATGCACTTGTAGCGTTACAGACTAGAAGACACGGTGCTTCTACTTGATATCATTTCACACACTGACAACTGAGCCTTTAATCTAAAATAAAAATTTAAAAAAAATCTAACAAAAAGTCCCGTGAGCAGATCAGAAGAAGTTTTGGATAACTTCCAGAGTAAAATCAAAAACCTCTTTTCCATGATGGATTTACATGGGATCCCTCGTGTGCAATGATCATGTTGCAGATGTAAATGATGAAGGCGGACAGATCATTTTTCATGACAGTTGTACTCACACAGGTGTGCAGGAACATACGAACATCATTTACATACTGTGGTAGTGACGACGTATGTTGGAAAAACTCTGTCATGGAAAAATATGATGTTTTCCAACATGTGACTCAAATGGGTAAAAAAAAAAAAAAAGAAAAATCTGTGCCAGAAAGCTAAAAATAATGTCTAACCCTAAAGACTATTCATGAGTGTATGTGGAAAACCAACAGAGCAGTTGTTGGACAATCTAGACCAGTGGTTCTCAAACTGGGGGTCTGGACCCCCATGGGGGTCCCAAGATAATCTCAGGGGGTCGCCAGATCATGGCTAAAAAATAAATAAATCAATAAATAAAGCCTACATTTATCAAATAAATGTGTATCAGGGCTGTCAGAATTAAAAGTGTATACTTGTTCCCACTCCTTTTTCAGACTTGCAAATATCATGATTTGATTATGTGATAATATTATTCTTTTTTGCTCTTTTTAATGCTCTTTCTTGAATTATTTTCTTTTGTTTTTATCATTTTCTCCCTCTTTCACTTGTTCGAAATAAATGCAATTAATTCATTTAAAAGAAAATTAACGTGTTACTGTAAAGAGATTAATCTGTGGAATTAACACATTGATTTTGAACGCATTAATGCATGAACAACAACGTTATCACTCATGCCATATTGAAAATTCAAACTGGGGGGTCACGAACACAAACTTGTGTTATCTTGGGGGTCGTGGCTCAAAAAGTTTGAGAACCACTGATGTAGACTAAAGTCAAAGCAGTAAAGTTGGAATAAGTATTCATAAATACTTCGACATTTACACACACAGGATGTAAAATGAACTCAAATAAATGTCAAACCAATTTAAGGATACACAAAAAGACCAGGAAGTGATACAAATCAACCACAGAGTGAAAGAACTGACTAAAAAGAAATGAACACGGTTACACCACAACAGCTAAGGAACATCCAAGGCCCGCAACAAGATGCAAAACAACCGCACAGATGCACAAACCAACCACAAAAAAAAAACAATGCAAAAGAGATGCTAAATGAATACAAATAGATGTTAATTTAAAACAAATACAGAAAACCACCTCGAAGACACACAAAACAACCACTGCTGGATGCAAAAGAGATGCAAAGACTGACCACAAAGAGAACGACTACAAAGAGACCCAAACGAATGAAAAAGAAATGCAAAGAGAACACAACTAAATACAAATGATTTAACAAAGAGAATCAGAATGACTAACAAAACACCCAAACCAATGCGAATGAGATGCAAAACAAACACCAACAAATGCAATATTACCACAAAGACACACAAAATGACCACAAAGCAATTAAAACTGACTGAGAAAGATAGAAAATGTGCACAAACAGATGCAAAACTATCACAAACAGAGAAAAAAACATCAGCAAAGGAATCACAAAGAGACACAAAACAGCCACTGGTCCAGTATTTCATAGTCAGTCTGTGGTTGTGCTGTTAAGTTCGCTATGTTTTGTTCTGCTTGTTTCTTTTTCTCATCCTTCGTTTAAAAATGCGCATACCTGTTTATTTTCTTTATATATAAAACTGTCCAACAGGGACAAAAACATTTAGCCATTATCGATACACCGCTTCTACACCTACGGACAATTTAGAATCACCAATTAACCTCAACATGTTTTTGGACTGTGTGGGAGGAAGCTGGAGAACCCGGAGAGAACCAACACTGCACGGGGAGAACATGCAAACTCCACGCAGAAAGATCCCGGGTGTCCTCAACGGGACGCAAACCAGCAACCTTCTTACTGCGAGGCAACGATGCTAACCACCGAGCCACCTCGCAGCCCCAAAAACATGAAGAGTACATTTGCTGTACATCCCATGGGTAGCCTTTTAAAAAGAAAACATATAATTAAATAAACAGGTATTCTTACAAATAATATTGTTTTTTTCTGTTAAGACTAAACTGATTATATTTTCAGCCTCCATCATTTGGTAAATGACACAAACCGTTGCTACGGCAGCCCATTATAAACACTCTGGACTGCTACTCCAAACAGCAGGGGCTCTTCAGACGCCCCAGATTGCCCAAATAGAGCAGAGGCATGATTGTGCTCCCTGCAGTCGGCAGTATGAGGATAGGCATTGCTAAAAAGCAGTCATACTCCTTCTCGTCAGGAAATATCAGACTCCCGAAGACGTACACCAGCACCGGGGGGACGTAGGAGATGACGGTCATGACCATGCTGTTGGTGATGACCTGCAGGGCCTTCTTCTTCTTGGGGTGCAGGTCTCCTCCTCCACGGTACGACTTCTTCAGAGTCCACAGGATGGCGGCGTCGCAGATGAGAATGACGGGGAGCGCTATGATGTACACCAGCATGGCCCAGGCGCTGTGGTTCAGCTCCACAAAGACCACGGACGCGCTGCCTTGAGCCGCCGTCAGAGTCCAGACGGCGGCGGCCATGAGGACCCGAGGAGCCAGGCTCTTGTTGGCGCGGTAGGTGACCGGATGCACCACAGCCAGGTAGCAGTCCAGACAGATGCACGCCGTCAGGAGAGGCCGGCCAGCCAGGTTCAGAGAATACATGAAGTTGGTGATCTTCCCAAAGGAGATGATGTCCCAGAAGATGTAGTTGCACAATCCGAACGGGATGAAAAACAAGAAGACCAGGTCCATGACGGTGAGGTTGAGCATGAAAACGTCGTTGGGGGTGATGGAGGTTCCCACCTTGTGTCTCCGAAAAAGCTCCAAGAGGACGGCGACGCATGCCGGACACCCAACCAGGGAGAAGAGGGTGCTGAGAGAAGCCCAGATGATGATGCCTAAACTCATGTCCCCGCAGTGGCCGAGCCCATCCTCATGCTCGCTGAGGTTGGAGGCCAGACTCTCAGAGCGAAGATGGAGGAACATTATGAAGCAGTCTGATCAGCTCCTGCCTACACCAGAAGGAAAACAGACATAAGTGGTGATTTAAAAGCTTCACACAGCAAGAGAGAGAGAGCTGCTTAATGTTCATCTTACCTCCAGGATGGGATCTGATCTTTTGTTGCAATGATGCAGCCGGTTTGCTTCTAGTATGGAAATACTGATTTGAATAAGCAAGTGACAGCGAGGATCATCTTCCTGCATTGGCTTGGATGTTTTGAAAGCTCTGCAGATTTGATTAGTTTCTGTGTGGTTAGAAAAACTGGTTTACTAGATGATGAGAGGCATTAAAATGAAGCTTTGCCTCGTGAACAGTTAAAGGTCAGAGGTCGAGAGCTGTGGAGCGGCTTGGTTCAGCAGGACTGTGCTCAGGTACAACAGTGAGGTACTTTAATCTTCACCTGATTATTTTCTTGTTATGTTACTTTACGTGTCTGTTCCACTGCAATTCAGGGGCCAATGTGCAACTTTTTACTTAAATTTTACAAGGGATGCACCATATATCAGTGACCACATTGGTTTTATTTTTTTTCCCGATATATCGGTATCGGTCCAATGAACAAATTTAGCCGATGTGAAAAACCACTGATTGTCTAACATTAGCACCTTCGTCTCTACATTTGTTATTGCTGATATTTCACAGATGTTTTTACTTAAATGGTCCTGAACTTGAACATTCAATGTATATTCTTGATTACGCTTACATACTTTTACTTGAGTACAAATGTCAGCACAAGATTTTTAATCAACTGTTTCTTCACTCTCATTAATCTGATCACATCCCTCATCTCTGGGCCAGTTTAAAAACAACCAAAAAAAAGTCTCTTTAATCGCTTTCCCCTTTAATCAAAATTACTAAACTGCTGCTTTGTGTGAACAAAAGTAATCCCAGTCTGGTTTATGTTCAAAGGCAATATTTAAATAAATAAATACATCACAAAACACATCCTGATGGTGGCAGCACTCTGACACATGTTCTGTCTGCCCTCCAGTGGTTTAACTTGTCACCCTGCTACAGTAAAATACAACCTCCGTGGTTGGAGGAGCTGCAGAAAGCAACGTTTTTAAACATTGATCAGGGACGCTGGGTGCAGTTAGACATGAAGCAGGATTGTAACTTTCGACGAGAGAGGGCAGCAAAACTCTGCTGCTCAGCTGCTGTTGGGTAACTTCACAAGGTCAAGAAGAGACTGTGGTTTTGTCTAAATGCAGCTTCAGCCGTAGACTGAGACCAGCGAGGCTTTCTCAGTAGTTTGTGCTTTTTTTTTTTTTAGAAAAATGTGTAAAGTTTTGTTTTCATGTGCAATATTTCATTGTTATGAGTATGATGTATAACTTGTGTACTTAATTTTATTCTCAGTAATGTATTGCACTTATATCTGATTGTTTTTCTACTAATTCTGGTAGATTAATCACAGCGACTGGACTTGCTTAAGTTCCTTGAAGACGTTTCACCTCTCGTCCAAGAGGCTTCATCAGTTCTGACTGACTAGCTGGGAGATCCACATACTGATATCCTTAAGTTAGTGCTAACGACTCACATAACGAGGGGGAGGAGCAACTAACCCCCAATTGAAACCGAAACTCAGGTGTTAAGGCTCCTTTAGGATATAAGTGAGAGAAGTGAGAAAAGAAGAAAATACATTTTTAAAATGCAAACTAAAGACCCATCCATCCATCCAACCATTATCTATGCACCACTTAACCCTCACTAGGGTCATGGGGGGCTGGAGCCTATCTCAGCTGACTCAGGGTGAAGGCAGAGGACACCCTGGACAGGTAACCAGTCTATCACAGGACTACACTTAGAGACAGACAACCAAGCACACTCACATTCACACCTACAGACAATTTAGAATCACCAATTAACCTTAACATGTTTTTGGACTGTGTGGGAGGAAGACGGAGAACCCAGAGAGAACCCACGCTGCACAAGGAGAACATGGAGACTCCACACAGAAAGATCCTGGATGTCCTCACTGGGATGGGAACTGGCGATCTTCTTGCTGTGAGGAAACAGTGATAACCACCTTGCAGCCCTCCATTTACTCAGTCTGGCTTTCATCATTTTCTAATTATTTATGCTTACTTTTTGGCATTAACATTTTCTGTTTCTGTTGTTCAGTGGCCCTGTGATAGACTGGTGACCCGTCCAGGGTGTCTCCTGCCTTCACCCTGAGTCAGCTGGGATAGACTCCAGCCCCCATGACCCTAGTGAGGATTAAGTGATGGATGGATGTTCTGTTACTTTTTTGGTGTGAATTAGTCTCTAAATCTATTTTTATGATCCTGTATTTCATCAGTCACCTGCAAAGCACTTTAAATTATCCTTAACTAATTTGAAAACTGCTAAATAAATAACATTTGATTAACTGGTTGAAGTTGGAGTACACATTAACACAAAGTACTCACATTTAAAGTGTTTATTGAAACAGCAGAAAGCAAAAAGGAATCGTAGACGACCAGAGCTGCTTCTGACATAATGAAAACTGAAAAATCAAGTGAGGAATTCAAACGAATACACGAGTGACTGATTCTTATAAAGACAGTCGTTGTAGTTCCACTGACCACCACTGGGTGGCAGGAACAGTTTGTTATAGCGGGTTGTGTTTTCACATTTCTGGAGACCAAACTTAATACATTCAATATATATTTCAACAGTTTTTGACAGTTTTCAATCATAATACAGTTCAGTTGATTACTTTGCCAGAGGAATAAATGAAAAAATAAAATTTAGCTTTTTTTTTTTTTCCTCCAAATGTCTGACATGCCGTAGATTTTACGTTTTAATTCAGTTTCCATTAATGAACCGCAAACAGAAGCATCCAGTCTTTCATTATCTGTAAAGGTTTACAGCAGGTTTTAGTGTTTTATATGCTTTTAATGACACACACACACACAATGTATGCAAACAATTCCATATAAAAATTTCTTCATGAAATATTCTCTTGTGTATTTACTCTCTGCTCTTTCTGCAGCAGAGCAACTGGTCACAACGTCTCCAATCAAATTAGCTACCAAAATCGATTGTTTTTATTTATGTACACGACACATTTACAAGATTGGACTTACTGACCAAAAAAAAAAAAAAAAGAGGAAAAGATGCACATAAAAACTCCCAATAAAATGGTTATTATTCAGACCCTGTCACAATCATAGAAAACCGTGAAAGGCACAAGAATGTTCACATGAAACGTACAAAAGATACATTTTCTTCAAAGTGTAAATTACAGAATTTTTAGGAAAACCTTCGACACGCTCCCGTTAGTTCGCTGTTCCTGACTTTTGCTCTCTGGTTAGCTTTTAGATGAAAACATACAGTTACTTGCCACATTTGGGACTTATCGACGTATTTGTAGATGTTTAACACGCTTATAAAAACAGCCTCAGGCCCCGTTTTCATGTCGTTTATCTGCTCAGTATCGCTGTTACATCCGTTGCTTTAACATTCAGCCGTTTCCAGTCAGAACTCTGATTCAACATTTCTGCTCAACAACACGTGAAGGCATGTCACCATGAACCAGCAGACCGAGACCGGTGCCAGTCCTCAGGCTCAGAGCTGGTTTTAGTACAACCGAGTGGTTTTATATCAAAATAACTGTGCCAAAGAACAATTAGAGAAAGATCACAGACGTTTTTTGTTTTTTTTTCAAGGGGGACGACAGGTAGACGAGCCCGTCGCCTGCCAGATTCCTCGGTAGTGTGCAGGTTTTACGAGACATCACAATCACAAGACAGTGTAAACACCAGGACATCATTCATGATTGCATATCGGATCTACGGTGTGGTTTCATAGCAACAAGACAAATATCACATTCTTAAACAAAGAGGGAACATCTGTGAGCTGTGTCTGAAAAAAGCCACATGTCTCCAGCAGAGGTCAAGTTGTACAGTCGTGCTCAAATGTATTCATACCCTTCCATTAAAGAAAAGGCAAAATTCACAACATTCACTCAAATAACTAGAACCTGGAAAAAGTAATAATAAATAAAAATTTGCTAAATTATAATTTAGGGAAATAAGACATTGCTTTTGAATTGTGGTTGAAAAGAATAATTAAACAATCAATTGCAGACAAATTAGAGCACTTTGCTGATGAGCAGTGAAATCAAAATCCCTGTCAACAGGAGCAGAAGTCTGATTGAGAGTTACAGAAACACTTGATTGCAGTGATTGACTCAAAGGATTGTTCAACTAAATATGAGTTTATGGGTCCCATCATGCTTGTTTGCTTGTTTTTTTGTTGTTGTTTTTAATATTTCTGTTGAACCACAATCCAAAAGCAGCATTATGATTTTCAATAAATTCTTATTTATTATTACTTTTGTCAATTTCAACTTATTCCAGTGACAGCAGTTTTTTTCTTCTTTAATGGGAGGGTGTGGATACATCTGAGGATGACTGCATGTATCTTTTTTTATTATTATTATTTCATTAAATAGCCAATAAAAAGCTTGACGATGTACCTTTTGGAAATTCGAACAATTCAACTGTGTCATTGTGGAATAAAAAGAAGTCAAAGTTCAATTAACAGGTCACAAAATTCTACTAATGTTCTGAAACCTTTTTTTTTTCTGAATTGCAACAGGATCAATGCAAAAATGCATTTCTAATCATCCTGAAATCTGACTTCCTCCCAATAAGTTGCCCTCGTGGAACTATGTTTTTCACCAGACAACAACAATACTTTTGAAGGGTTTCATTCCAAAACACTACGCTGTACATTCATCATAATATAAAGATGAACAGAGATTATGTGAATCTTATCACTCAAAACTTCAAAAACAGTCTCATTCTAAATAATGTTAGTATATGACAGTTGATGGTATTAAAATAAAATCTTTGTATTTAAAAAAAAGAAAAAGAAAAAACAACACCACATCATTTATATGTAAGAAATTGTAATCTAAAATCAGGTGTATTTTTCAGAGATCTTATTCTGGAACAAAACTCTTCAAAACCCGTATGAGAACATCAAGATAAAAGACTTTCAGAGTGAAATCTGTGAGTGCTGGGGGGAGTTGTACACATTCTGACAAACATCTCAGCCCTCCCACTGATGACACACTGCACTCACTATGTGGAGCGTTTACACATATATTTATATGTACACACACATCTCAGAGAGGTTTGTCTTGAAAATGCTTAGTGTTGAAACTCAGTAGTAGTTGTTTGCAGCTGGATGATGAAGCTGCAGTTTGTTTAGTACGCGAGGGGAGACGAGAAAATCACCCACTGTTTTTCAAGACCTGTCCAGGATTACAAGCCTCCAGTGAACCACATTCTGCTGCCGAGTCCCACAACTCTGCAAACTGCTTCTTTCTCTCCGAACCTGTGACGACGGCGTTGTTGGGATGTGTGAGTTAGGACAGCGCTGACTTTCCGACAAGGACATGAGGGTCAGACAATGGCTGCATTGACTCGGTTGTGACCTCCCCCAGCCCAACACCAGTTAACATGAAAAAAAACAGCCTTGAAAAAAATGCTGTTGATTATTAACTGGGATGCCAGTGTGTTCGTGCTGAGTGGAATTCGAGCCATGCATTGATTATCCAAATGGAGCAGAGCAATGTTGTTGCCTCCTCAGAATCACATTCAGCTCCAGTGTCTGGTGAATTGCTCACTCTTGCACAAAAACACAAACAGCAGGGCTGCTTTTCGTTTCGTAAAAGGAAACACTTGTGTATATTCATGCAGATTCTTCACATCTTGCACAGTGGAAAGCTACGATACCCAGAAGGCTCACTGTGGTAACACAAGCTTGGAGGGCAAAACATAGCACCCTAACATGTAGTGCAGTTTGCAAGACTGAACAGAAGTCATTCTGCCTGCTTCTCTGAAAAACTGACAGTCCCTGAAAAGTTTGCTTTAACTTAATTACTTATTCACTATCTCTTTACAAAAAAAATAGAATTTCTGATATCTTTGTAGCTTACAAAGTCTGCTCGTACCTCATAACAGATTCCTCGTACCACAAAGTAGCTGCAGCCACAGACACCAACAACCACATACATCAGTGCGGCACAATGCCGCTGTCTTCTCCATACAGGATGCCTTTCTTTCAGGGAACATTTCTACTGGCCAGATGGGCTGCAGGGCCTTCTCTGTCCAAAACAAAATGGCTTTGAGAGTATTAAAGACCCCCATCAGGTCTGGGAGAAAGTGACCAGAATACTAAACATCGTCTTCAATGCATATCATGGCTCACTTTGTCAGTGTTCTATATGTTGTTTTTCTCTGCTCAGCTGAGTTGAGAAGCAAATCCAAAAGCATGAGGGAACTGAAGGAAATTTAACAGATGATTCACATGTCGTGGAAACAACCACAGAAACTGAACAAATTAAAAGAAAATGTCCTTAAAAAAAAAAAAAAAAAATCAGCATTCATGAATCCAGTCGGATGACTCTGTGATGATCAGATTCTTCTCGTACCGTGACGGGTTGTTGACTCAGGTGAACTTTGCTTATCGAGTTATTTGCGGAGGCTGAGTAATCCTCCTTTTGGCACTTAACAGTCACAGATTGATAACAAGAAGAAATGAATACAAATGATGCCATAGACACCATATTATTGCTACACTGCGCTGAGTCAATGTGTGTCACAACTTGGTGATTTGGTGACTTCTGACAGACGGCCTTGACCGGTTTGGGTGCTTTTGTCGATATGGAGAGAGAGTTCGGTTCCACATGCCCTTACAACAGCCAGTTTCAAACACACACCCAGTTCATTTCTGTCACATAAATATCCATCTTCCCTTTCTCTCATTTCCCTCTGTGATTCCATTTCAGCTCCCGGTCCCTCTCCTCAGGTGTGCCCGCTCCAGGTGTCCGCTAGTCCGAGATACTCTGGGTTTTCTGCGGTGGGGGTCAAAAACCCGTTCATATGCCGGCCAACTCCTCCGTTGCTCTCCAGTGCTGTAGGTCCGTCCACCACTGCTGCTCCTGGTGCCACTTTGGCTTTGGCCACAAGGTCCAGGTAGTACGGGTTGTCAAAAGCAGGAGAGATGGAGTTCGGGGAGCTCACAGGGACCAAGTATCCGGGGTTTTCCACACTGTGACCAGAGCTCAGTCCGTTAGGGAGCCGTCGGTCTACTCTGGAGCCTTTACGAGGCAGCGTGCTCGGCCGCTCGGGGATCCCTGGTCTGAGATCCCTAATTTCCTGGTTGACGTACTCTGAAATGGTGGAGAAAGGAAAAAAGTCAGAACAAGGGTCGCCGCTGAACTGGTTGAGCTGGCGACCCATGTACAGGAGCTGTAGTGACCGACGCAGCAGCCATGGGTTCAAGCCCCGCTGCAACCAAACTTTCCGAGGTTTAGTTGCACCTACTTTCTATACTTTTTGGACAACCTACAGTAGAAGAAATCGCTCACTCACCTGGTAAGGCATGATTATGATTGTGGCCGTGACTCCGCCTGGGCAGTGAGTGATGGAGGTGATGAGGGTGGAGGAAGCCATTCGGCCCGTCGGTCTCGAGGTCTCCCTGGCTACCGTTGGGGTAGGTGGGGTCTTTGCAGTAGCGTCCAGGGCTGGCGGGGGGCAATGAGTGGCCGTCTGGAGGCCCGTCCAGGAAGACCGAGTCAGACTGGCCTCCGGCTGAGGGGCTGCGAGCCAGCGTCGGGTACTGAGGCCACAGACCGTTGGAGGTGCTGGCTCCTGACGGTAAGGTCGGGTACTGGCTGCGACCCAGAGTGCTCAGGGACGAGTACATGCTCCGAGGACCACCGGCGATGGAGGGCTCAACGTCTAAGCCCTGATCTCTGCTCTGCTGGAGAGATGACAAAGAAAAAAGTGACTCACATTAGGCTTACGTTTATTCAGCAATGGAACCAATATGTCGAACTGACATCAAAAATCAGATTACAGTTTAAAATCATGGCATGGTTGTACTCATAGTCAGCTGCTAAAGCCGGTTGTGCTGATATGAAGAAAAATATTGTCAGAATTAGAACTGTGATAATAAATTTGACAGTTAGAGCCTCTTTAGAAAAGCCCAGAAAAACAGTGCAGTCAGAGAATCTTCCAACACAGATTATCAGCCAGTGTAACTGTAAATGATGAAATAACTGAAGACAAAGGTGCTGTTCTCCCTCACTGACCCTGTACGACTGGTGTCTGGACGGTCCGTTGGCCTGCGGCTCGTCTCCCTTCGTCCTGGTGAAGAGGTTTGGCTGCGGCACCAGATACTCCTCAGCGTCCATCATTTCCCCCACGTTGTCCCCCTCCTCCAGAAGCATCCGGTAAAACCGACTGTCCACCGGGCTGCACTTGCTCATGTCCTCGTCGTTCTGCACGGCACGGAAGAACAACATGGAAGAAATGTAAAGAAAGGCTATATTTACTAATAAGACCACAATATTTATCTTTTTCTAAGTGGTACCAGGCCAAAATGGTATCGCTTTAGTACACAAATAACATTCTACAGTGTAGAAGATAACATACTGAGAGCACAGTCACACAAAAGGAAAACATGCAACACGGTCACATACCTGAATGACTACATAGCGAGGTGGGTCTCTGGCCATGGCAGTAAACTCATTGACCAGATCTCTGAACTTGGGCCTGCTCTCTGGATCGATCATCCAACCTGCCATCCAAACATAAAATCAAGATGTCAGTCGGTCGCATTCGATGCAAACTAATTCTGTGACGTCCTGTTTAATTTAAACAAAAGTTCATTTTAGTTTTAGTTTTTCACAAAATCTGCTAACGGCAAACGCTTAAAGATTTATTTTTGGCAAAATTTTTAAAATTTGAATAAAAACGATTCGGATGAAATATCACAAGTTTGACCTTGGATTTGGTAAAGTTTTACAACAGCAAGTCACAGGCGAGTAGTTCAGGGACTGTTGGAAAGATAAAAATTCAAGGATTCTTTGTGTTTTCACAACTTGTGGCTCAGATAAATGATGTCATTTGGGCAATTTTCTTTAACAACAAAATGCCTCCCAAACCTGCAGGTGGGTTTTGGAGTTCAGAGATTGTTAAATCCTCAAGAGACAGACAACATGTAAAATCAGTGCTTCAAGAAGAACTACCCACATTTGACCATGATCATGTAGACGTCGATGGTGCAGATGAGGGGCTGAGGAAGTCTCTCCCCACCCTCTAAAACATCTGGTATTTCCCTCGCTGGTATTGTGTCGTAGGGTTTAGAACCGTACGTCATCAGCTCCCAAACTGTCACTCCTGAAGAGGAAATTACAACAGCACAACATTCAAGCACCAATTTAAACCCAGTTTTATCATGATTAGTGCAGCAGAGAGACACTGACCGTAGCTCCAGACGTCACTCTGATGAGTGAACCGTCTGTGCAGAATAGACTCCAGGGCCATCCATTTAATGGGCACCTACAAATACAGAAACACATTTTTATTTAAAAAACAGATCAAATAAATCATTGTGGATGTTTCAGGTGCTCCTAAAACCACAGTCACATCTTACCTTCCCTCCATCAGCGTGATACTCGGTCTCGTCTATATCGAGCAAACGGGCCAGACCAAAGTCAGTGATCTTCACGTGATTCGGGTTCTTCACCAGAACGTTTCGCGCGGCCAGATCTCTGTGAACCAACCGTACCTCCTCCAAATAACTCATCCCCTACACCAACACACACACAGGTCCATCACCCACAAATCCATGTGTCCACAAATATACAAACTGGTACCACATCAAATGTGAAAGAAAAAATAAGATGAGAGGGACATCAGCAGCAACATTAAAACACTACAGGAGAGAAAACAAAAATGCACCTACAACTACCAGCAGTCACACAGGTATGCACATCAACAAAAACATGCTGTTGCATTGTTTCTGTACCTTGGCAATCTGGACACACCAGTTGAGGAGGAACTGGGAACCAATGCGGTCCTTGTTCTCCCTGACGTAGTCGAGGAGGCAGCCGTACGGCATCAGCTGAGTGACCAGCTGCACTGTGGAGGTCAGGCAGATCCCCAGGAGGCGGCACACATACGGGCTGGCAACCCCCGCCATCACATAGGCCTCCTGGGAACAGACAGAGCAAAGATGTATTTCTGTGCATTTCTGTGCTCCATAACCGTGTATGTGTCCTGTACTCACATCAAGGATTTCTTTGTTGGCCTTCGGGGAGGTGTTTTCTCGCAACACCTTAATGGCTACTGGTATTTTCACATTTTCCCCATCAGGAGCCCACACTCCCTGAAACAGTGACCAAAACCATTGCAAGTCATCAAAATCTCAACATATATCACTGCTGTGCATCTCTGTAGCAATCAGTTTTGAAGGTTGTAGCTTGCATACCTTGTAGACAGTACCAAAGGCCCCTGCACCCAGCACCCTGAGCTTTTTCAACTCTGTCTCCTTCAGGATGCGCATCTGAGCCTGATTGGGTGACGCACCGCTCGGCGTTAAAGGCTCCACCAGCTGTACACATGAAGGGAGCAGATGGCGCATTACTCATCACAGAGCCAGGGCGACACACAGCAGAAGCAAAACGTCAACACTGACACTGTTCCCATCACTCCCAGTGCTCACCTCGTGCTCCTGCAGGATCCTCCTCAGCGTCTCCTTCCTCTTTAGCTTATTCTGTCTTCTCAGGTAAAAGACCAGCAGAGCCAGCAGGATGAAGAAGAGCACCACTCCACCCACTGCAGCCACGATGGTCGTACCGGGCCTGGACAGAGAGAAAGAGCTTAGCGCAGCTTCCAGAAAAGTCTGAAACCGAAATAACTTCCTCAGACAAACACTGTTTTATTAGTTTGTGTCTGAAGCAGCTCACCCTGTCCTGGTGTCGATGGGGCAGCCTCTCTCATCCATGAAAGTGCAGCTGCAACAGAGAAGCACCTGGTGTGAAATCATTCTCACTGCATCTGTTTGTGAGTTTCTGTGTGTGCTTGTGTGTGTGTGTGTGTGTGTGTTCACACTCACGGCAGTGTACAGTTGGTGTTGCAGGGCAGACAGTGCCCAGTGGCATTGCTGTACTTCCACACAGTTTGCTGATCCTCCTTCACACCACTGGGGCAGCTCGCCACGCAAAACTCACCGTCCTGGAAGTTCAGACACTCTGTGCAATCTTCTGCACCCTGAAGACACAGAGAGGGATATTTCAGGGGATTTATAAAAAAAAGTGCCTGCACACATTTACACAGATACAATCAGGGAAATTGAGTTGACATTATTTGTTTGGTGTATTTGATAGTTTTTACACTACAGACAAGCAGAAAATGTGGAGAAACATCAGAGGGTCAAGAAGCAGCCGCAGCTGGAGCAGAAGTCAAGACGCTGTGGTTAGATGGTGACCACTGGAGCACAGGGCTACCCCGGCTTATTATCTGACTTTTAATCAATGCATTGTTTTATTTATACATGTCAAAAATGTCCATCATGGTTTCCTACAGCTCCATGTGACATTTTTAACTTTTATTTAACCAACACTACATTGTCTAACAGAATTTGATCTAGCAACAGAAAACAGCAAAATGCAGGAACTTTGGTTCTTTGCATAATTAAATAATTACACAAATGTAAGAAGAGAAAAAAGATTTTCTGTCAAATGGATTGTTGTGGCATCTGCAGTGATGTGGATGTTTTACTGGTGTGTTGTGTTCAAGAGAGAGCCGAGCCAAAAGCTGAAGCTGCAGATTTTCTGGTTGATCTACGTTCTACACTGACTTTTGGCCACAAGTTGTGGGTACTGACCAAAAGAATTCAACCACAAATTCAAATGGTGGAAATCAGTTTTCTCCTGTTGGTGTCTGAGCTCGCTCACTTGTAAGGGGTTCACAGGAGAATTTTCCTCCACATCAAAAGAGCCCAGCTGAGGGAAATCCATCAAGGATGCCTCCCCGACAAGGTGTTTCAAGCTCATCCAAACAGGAGGAGACCAGGACACACCGGAGAGGTTATGGCTGTGTTTCATACTGTGTCTTTTACTTTAAGAGTAAACACCATTTCATGCATTATGGATACTGCTGGGACACACTACTTGGTCATAATACTGTTCTTTCCTTGTACTTGTGGAGGTCCACAATTCTCCTCCTGATATCTTGACTGATTTCTTTAGATTGTTGTCACAAAAGCAAGCAGTGGGTTTAAGGTGTGCCTTGAAATACATCCACAGGTGTGCCTCCAGTTAACTTAAATGTCGTCACTTAACCTATCAAAAGCTTTCCAAAGCCATGACATCATCATCATCTGGGCTTTCCCAAATAGTTTGAAGGCAAAGTAATCTTAGTGTTTGTAAATTTCTGACTTTGAAGAAAGCAATAAAAAATCCTCTACAAAGTTCTCTCTCTCATTATTCTGGCATTTAGAAAACAGAAATAATGTTGGTAATCCTAACGTACCTTAAACAGGAAAAGTTTAGTCTGATTTAATGTCAGACAGTGAGAAAAAAAAAGGTTTTAAACTTCTGGTTTAACTGTATATCCATTGCAGTCTGTAATGTGAAATGAGCTGTTAGTGTCTGCATGCTCTGGGCGGCTCAAGCTCACTAATAATTACACATTACAAAATCCAACAGGATGCATTGGGACATACCAAATCTTTTTCTGGTGTAGCACATAGTCATCAAAGATACGAGTTGAGCACCTTGAAACATTTTTTTGTTTTGGTGAAAGAGTAATATTCTTTAAACTGAGTGGTCAGGTGATGTTCAAATACTCAGGATTATGTTCTCTCAGTGATCAGCACTAACTTCTGGAATGCAACTAGTTTAAAAACCACTAATAATTCTCACAAACACCTACCGGGCCGTGGCAGGAGGCAGAGCCATTGAGAGGTCGACACTCTGGATGACACGCATTGCACTCGGATCCGTCTGTGTATTCACGCACAGACCTGCAACACAAGCACAGGGCGCGTTTAGCATAACATCCCGTAACACAGTGTGGCATTTGTTGTATGCATTTATCTGGAGGCACCTGACACCGTCATAAGGAGACACATTTTTAGAATGGGGGGCCCCAGCTGCAAATAACCTGATGAGCTGCTCAGGATAACTTGTACTCTGCACCACACAGGGCAAGACAACAATGTTTGGTATTGCTTGGCAACTTTCCGCGAACCGTATGTGTGAAGATTGTGAAGATATGATAACAATAGTTAGGTGAGAATACTGCTCTCATGTTGCACAGTGAGTAAGAAGCTGCAACAGCCGTGAACACAACCTCACCACTGAACCGCAGACTGTCTTTTTTACACTTGTGTTTTTGCACATATTAAACAAATGACATGTTAATTCTCAGCAAGAAAGCAAATACGCATGTTTCACAATTAACACTTTAACCCTCTGAGCAGTTTTTACTCACTGTGGGATCATTTGTAACCACAATACAAAGTCTGACACATTTGTGGAAACAGCACAACCATGGCTGGCATTGCAGAGCACTTAAATGTCATCTGTGCAGCATAACAAAGTTAAAAAGCCATAAATCCTAAAAAAGAAAAAAAAGTTGACTTTCTTTGATCACTTAAATAAATAAGTAAATTGGAATTAACATGCACAACATTTTACCAAGTGACCACAGGATACTGCAAAAAAAGGTGACTCTACATACTGTAGATCAGGGGTGTCGAACTCCGGTCCTCGAGGGCCACAATCCTGCATGTTTTAGATGTTTCCCTCTTCCAACACACCTGATTCAAATGATCAGCTCATCATCAAGCTCTGCAGAAGCCTGATAACGATCCTGATCATTTGAATCAGGTGTGTTGGAAGAAGGAAACATCTAAAACATGCAGGATTGCGGCCCTCGAGGACCGGATTTTGACACCCCTGCTGTAGATGTTTTACAACTCACATCTTTCATTTGTTTCTAGACTTTATCTATCGGCTCAGTGGAAACACAGCTGGCGATTCAGACAAAAGTTTGTGTTTGTAACAAATGAAACACTAATGGCTTATAGGTTGCGACAAGGACCACAGAATATTATGTTTTTTACAGAATCTGGTGAGAAAAAAAAAAGTTTATTTCTGGCAAATGTTTAAATGAGGCATGTAGAATAACAACATTTTAAGCTTAGTTTAGTTTAAGTTTCCTGATTAAGACCATGGAAAGGTTCTCTTCACAGGGTTCAGAGGGTTAAATTCTCCTCCCAAGCTTTAATCTAACAAAACAACTGACTGTCCTTGTTGTATGGACGCTTTCTAATGACACAGTTTATTGCGCTGAACATCAACCTAACTAGTAAACACATACTTTTTAAATCCATTTCCAGATTATTTTAACCTGGATACAACCACATTTTAAGCAAAGAAAAAACAGAACTCTTGCCAAATGATCTTTTGAGTGTGGCAAAACTATATCAGTTGGACATTTTCAGCTTTTTATATATTGATGGTAGGAAACACTTGACCTCTATTGATTTGCTATGTCATTCTGTGTATACGTCAGTTGCAAACACATCATATCAACTTGAGTTCAGTTATTGTTCTAAGAACCACAGTGTTATCACACGTGTTTGCTTACGGGCACACTTTAGGTTAGAAGCCTTTAGATTGATTTACTGTTGTGGCTGCTTTGACAGTCACTGTGGATCCAGTCATTCTTCATACATCCACCTTCACATTTTTAACGCAGGCGTAAATACCTTGTTTTCTTTACTGTAGAACTCTTTTCTGGGTTTTGCACACAGTAAAGTGCAATATTAAGATCATTATCAGTTGGCTTTTTATTGATTTAGAGTGGCCACACCCACACAAACTTTCTTACCCCTGATAGATGTCACACTGCTCCACGCACTCATGGCCACGTTTGACGGTTTTGCAGGACACACACTGGCTGGGCCCCGGACCCCAGCAGCCTCCTTCACACAGCGGGTGACACACATTCCCCGTTGCCTCTGAAAACACACACAGACACATCAGAGCATGAAGCACACTGTACTTTTTATGTCCTCAAACAGTTAACAGGATTTACAATCACTGTGGTTAGTTTTATATGTCGGTTTATGAGCACTAAAGCTGCAGAGGTTCAAATAAATGTTAAACTCTAAAAAAAAAAAAACACCTGCAGACGAGCACTTTTCTCATAAATTGCAAATATTTGTCACGCAACAGCACCTACGCATGTTGTTTAAAATGCAATTTGTAAAACAGTATTCGCTGCACTTTTCCTGCTGCAGCAGTTCAATTCAATAAACATTTTTGAACCTTGCATCTGGCTGATTATCTTGGCTATAAAGAACTTTAATGCACCTTCTGCTCTGAATACGTTACGTGTGTGTTCACCTACCACAGACTTGGGGGTCCTGGTTGTGGCTGACGATTCGATGGGGTCCCTGGGTGGGATGGATCAGGGTCTCCCAGGGCAGAGAATTAGTGTAGCACAACTGAGTGTTGTTGTACATTAAGACCAAACCTCCACTGACGCTGCGTAGCGATCGCAACCCAAGAGAACGGATGTGGAGATTCTGGACGGCCAGTGAAAACACACCCCTAAACAGATGGAGAGGTTGTGAGTAATCAGACCGTAATCAAGAATGACGAAGGAAGCTAAAAAAAAAGAAAAAAAAAAACCGAACATAAATGGAATGAAAACAGCAAGAATACCTACAACTAAGAACAGTAATGGAAACTGTCAGATATTCACAAACAGCTCAGTGTAATACTAACAATACTTTGCCCACAATATTGATAGCATCATTATGCATCGGTTCTGTGATACTCAATACTTTGCAGACAACCTGAATGTTTTAAAAATATTATTTGGCACCACAGCGTATCACAAGATCAAGATACACAAATATATTGCTTAGACATATCGATAATTTATCTCACCACTATAAATCAGCAGATCTCACACTTGTCACTGTGACCTACTTTCAGCACTACAGAACGTCCCACGGACTCTGAGTGGCGCGTGCTGCAGGTCAGAGCAGCGCTGGCTAATAATTAGCATTTATTACAGAGAAAGTGAACAAACAGCCTCGAATGAACCAGACACACGGTCGGAAGAAAAAAAAACAAAACAAAACAAAAGAGAGCACAAAAACACAGTGTGGGTGGATGGACATCAACACAGAGGCATGTGGTGACGCACGGCGCAGAAAGACACTGATATGATGAACAGAAGATGCTTTATGATCGACTTCCATAAATATATTTTCTGCACTGCATTGTGTTAAGCTTTTCAATGGTTTAGTTTGTATGCATGCTTACTTTCTGCTGTTTTTATTTGATCATTTATTGTCTAGTTTCTCTATATCTGTCGGACTGTTGACAATAAAATCACAACATAAGGAAAGCTATTACAGTATGCATAGTTTAAGTGAAGTGACAGACTTGTGAACATACAGACAGTCTGAAAGTCTTACTTGTAGAGCATTCTGCCTCTGATCACCTTCAGGTTCTCAAACACACTGAGGTCGGTCCACTCTTCTGGCCAGGCGTCGATGTACAAATAACCTGCAGATTAAAATGATGCTATAAACACACTCTGGCAGAGAAGACTTCTGTGTGTTGTTCAATCTAAAATGAGACTGAACTGGGGAAACTGCAACTAAAATGAATTAGATTTTCTATTCATGGTAGAAGCTTACAAAAACAGTTTATTACCTGTAATCTCCTCCAGTCTCTTGAAGGCACTCAGCTGCTCCAAACTCAGGCCTGATGTGTTGGTCACAGGGTCCCTGGACAGCAAAAGTCAATCTGATTATTGCTCATTATCTTGTCTGTTGGCTTGAACGAGGACTTTAATTTAAGTGTTATCTTTTCCAATTTAAACTTGGATGTTGCGCGAATTGCCTCTATCTTTGTAGGACACTCAAGCCACGCGATTACCACATCTTTCAGTGCGACCTTGTGTCAGGAAGACGCCTTCCACTGGAACAAATTACAAGAATATGTTGTACTTACACCAACGCGTTTGCATTCTGTTTGTCTGAACAAGTGACTCAGGTTATCCCATATTTATTTCCTTCACACTTCACAATACAAAGGATTTCATGCATGTGTATTGTGAACAGTTGGCACAAACTCTAGAAGATAATTTATCAAGATTTGGCATCGCTACACGTCACGTAGGCAGATCGAGCAGCTTTGTTGTAAATGTCCACAGAGCACATGTGCAGACTAGTTGAACACAACCTATATTTAGTATTGTTTACAATTCACTCTTGACTGTCCAGGCACTGTCAGTAAACATGGCTCTTCAGTATTTTAATTAAATTTTAATTAGATGAGATTGTCTTTATGGTAAGAACACAAATGAAACTGCTTTTTCTTTCTTGACATAAAGACTCCGGCAAAGTGAAAAACATACAGTCAGGGTTTGGTCTGAGTGGCAGCTCTTTGCTCAAGTTGCACAAAGAACTGAGCACTGAATGTTTTTGCAAAGTCAAATATTTGAGGTGCTGAACAGGAGAGATGTGACTCGAGGCAGATTAAAATCTGAGGCATCAAGCTGCTCATTGTGTCTGCTCAAGTGCACGACTGTTAGCTTTACATTGAGTTAACTTGATTTATTGCATTCATTCCTGGAGCTTCAGTTTGACCCGTGTGTCTCTTACCTTGCAAAGCTCTGAGGGAGGAAGGCCAGACTACCAAAGATTTTCTTGCACTTGTTGAACTTCTCCACATTAGAAGACGTTACCATGGTGATGCCGTGTTTGTCCATGACACCGAGGTTGTCCATACCCAGACCGTAGCACACTGCGATACAAACAACAGAATGAAACGGCAATGAGCTAATTTATCTTAAATCCAGACAAACAGAATTCAGACACCAAATGTACAACAAAAGGAAGCAACGTCTCCCCACATGAACCATATGTTTAACTGAGCATCATCAGTGCTGAATTAAACATTGTGTGGCGTATTGCATTAAACACTTAAAGCTCTAAGTTGATTGACAGAGTAAACTTAAATGAAAAGCCTCAGCAGCATGATTTTACTGAACTCTAGACATGAAGTAAAAACAATTATCTTTACAAACAATAAATAATGATCTATCCTAATAGGTTAATAGTGATCCCAATTTACCAGCTGTAATTCATGAGACAAACTCAAATGAAGACAACAACAAGCTACTGCAGAAACAGGTCGGGTCACTTTGCATCATTGTCAACACGTAATTCATCAGCACATCAGGACGAGCAGCCACAACCATAACCATCTGTGTTTTAACGTCATGTCATGCATGTGGAGAATGCAAAAATAAATCATATCCAGAACATTAGTTATGCAATGTTTGAGCTACATATTGTGAAACAGCTCTCAGGGCTGGACTTCATGATAGCTACTGTATACAATATGTGGCCACTTCATCAGGCACACCTCTTCTAATGCTGGGTAGGACACACTTTGTCGACAGAACAGGCTGAACTCTTTAAGGAATAGACACAACAAGGTGCTAGATTCATGCCTGAGACATTCTGGTCCATGATAACACTAAAGGAAATTGCAGCAGACTTTCTGTCTGCTCATCCGCGCTACTCTCCTGCTCCATCACAACCTAAAGGTGCTTTATTGGATTCATATCTGGTGACTGTGGAAACCGTGGGCTACACTGAATTCAATAAAGTGCTGAGAAACGAGCTGAAGAGGGCGGGTGATACGTGACATGGTGTGTGAGTCTGTTGTATGTAGCTACAAGCATATGATCAGCAAAGATACTCATGTATGCTGTGGCTTTTAAGCAGTGTTGAGTTGGTGTTAGGAAACCCAAACCGTACCAGGAAAACACTCCCAGAACCATTCCACCATCAGAACCAGCATGAACTGCTGTCACAAAGCAGGATGGATTCTTGTTGTCAACCCTCCTGACAGAAGTAAAACCAAAAGCGGTTCCATCCATCCATTTTCTTCCACTGACGAGGTGTGTCAGAAAAGTTCCAGGACTGTTGCCACAAAAGATGTGTTTCAAATCCAAACTACAAACTACAAGTTTTCCCCTTCAGACGATCAACCAGCACGTCTACAAAGAGATCTTGTGGTGTTTGGTTTGTTCAGTGCGCAAGAAGAGGTGAGAGTCGTGGCAGAACAAGTCGTGGCTGCTTCACCATGACAACACACCTGATCACAACGCCCTGAGCATCCCACAGATCCTGGCTGAGAAGAACATCACCCTGCTGGAGAAACCTCCCTACTCACTCCACCTGGCTCCGTGGGATTTTTTACTCTTCCCCAAGCTCAAGGGGGTCATCAAGGGGACCCGTTTTGAAGACGTGGACGACATCAAGATGGCTGTGATGACGGAGCTGTTGAAGATCCCGGAAGAATCCTTTCAGGAGTGCATGGCAGCATGGCAGAGAAGGCTGGGGAAGTGTTTTAGACTCCAGGGGGATTACTTTGAAGGGGAAACCTTTTGTTTGTAGTTTGGTTTTGAAATATATCTTTTGGGACACCAGTCCTGAAACTTTTCTTACACACCTCATATCTGGGGTTGCGTCATGATGGCAGCAGGCTGAACAGGTCATTCCAGATGTCCCTCATGACAGCAAACCTTTCCGGTTCCTTCTGAGGGAATCTAGGATGTTCTCAGGTCAGATGAGATATGGAATTCCTCTAGGGATTTCTGGGTCTAGCCTCCCAGATGGATGTGCTGGTAAAACTTCAAAAAGAAGGCATCAAGAAAGCATCGTGACCAGATGCCCAGCTGGCTCCTGTTGCC